GGCCTGACCCACTATTATTTTTCAGGTGTTCGTCAGTTCCAGTCTTAGAGATTGTTCGTGCCGAGCAGAGACAGTCATTCACTCTTCCGACTCTACGTAGGACTCGTCTTCATTAGTTACTTATTATTTTTATTTCGGTTCAGTTATTTCAGTTAGGATATTATTAAGGGTTCACAGGATGGATTTCCGAGTTGTAGTTTAATTAATTACTAGTATCCGAAGATTGGAGAATTTTATTATTGGATTTTTAATTATTATTTATTTGAGGATTTTAAAATAGGGATTTATTATTTAGTTTCCTTCAGCTTATTATTTATTTATTATTTATTATTCTTTTTGTATTCAAATGCTTGTTTAAATATTAATTGTTTGATATCCCTTGTATTTTGTGCTCGGACTTGATCACCCGTGGCTCTAGAATTGAGGGGTATCACACAACCATACATATTGAAATAAAATGACTTCTATACAAAGAGCAAAAACGGAAAGAAAAAATAATAATAATAATAATAATAATAATGGTGTTCTCATTGATTAATATAGCAGTTACCAAAACAACATTCTCCAAATAAGGTGCAACTTAAAATCAAGATTTTCCTTGATCGTATAACATATAATCATGTGTTATTATTAGGTAAATTCTTCTGCATGTGTTCTGTTTTGTGTGTGCACTCAAAATCTATATGAACAAAAGCTCTTTCCACTTCAGTCAACTGCTCAATCTTCAACCGTAGTGTCTCGCCAATGTTGGGTGCTTGGCTAATAGACATGTCCCTAGCCAACACTCTGTCCACTTCCACAAAGTAATGTGGCACGTTACGATCATCTGTTACGGTCATTTTTTACTGGATTCAGATAATATTTGAGTCAATTCCTGCTTGAAAATGATGGGAGCGTGCACAATTTCACGAGGGCCAGTCTAACGAGTATGCTGGACCCAAGATGGGACACTTGTATCTGTAGATGTTTACTAATTGCATAAAAATGTTTTGAAAATCATAAGTACAAATAATGCAAAACATTGTCCATGTTGACACATGTTAGCTTCCACCTTTTACGATTTTGTTTATCGACAAAAATCGGCTAACTCTTAGTAACCAACCATACATACCATTAAGAATATTGAAATAAAATGACACTTAAACACAAAGTAAAAACCTATTATAAAAAAATAAAAATTGGTCTTCTCATTGATTAATAATATAGTTGTTATTACTCAAAACAACATTATCCCAATAAAGTTTGCTTGATTATATAATCATTTGTTCTCCATAACTGTTCTTGCCCATGTGCTCTTTGTGTTCAATATTATTTGCAACACATATCATTGAATTTTACTTGTGTAAAATTGACGGAGTGGAAATTCTGAAAGTTTGTAAATCAACAATGAACAACTTTGAATCTAGACAACTCTGAAAATATTATTAATTAATAATAAATATTATTAATTACCACATTATTGGCATAACATCTAAATATTTACAAAAATAAGGAGAACTTATATATATATATATATATATATATATATATATATATAAGTAATTTAGTAACTCGTGAAAAGTAGGATGAATAAAATATGTGCCTGAGTAGTAAGAGGCAAATTCAAAGACAAAGTTGCCTTACCACACACACTAGCACACAATATAGATATATATATATATATATATATATATATATCAAGAACAATTTTTTGATCCCAATTCTAGTATATTCTTCTTATTTAATTAATACCCCAAATACCCGCTTAGATCCTCCAGGGGCTCCAGAAGATAAGTTCTTGAGATTTGATTTTCGAATCGCACTTCTGACTTGAATGGTGCTTGTGTTATGGAATCGAATGCTATATAAAAATACAAAAAAATAAAAATAATACCCGAGTAGAGAAATGTTTTTGACCCCTCAGTGAGGCCACCAACCTCTTTGTCGTCGTCCTTGACCACCCATTGAATGTAAGTAAAAAAATCTTTATTTTCAGCTACTAACATTTTATTCACCGAAAAATATCCATTTGAGAAATCCAAGAAAACAAAATATATCAACTTTGAGAAACATACCAGCCATGAACATCACCATACAACTCGCCACAGCCTCAGCAAACATAAATCATTCATCTTTTATATTAACTTGAAACATTTGTTGTTTACTATAGATGCAAATATTTAAGGAAAAGCTAGCTAGCACTTCCCAAGGAATTATTTTCAAATTGTAGTTGTTTCCGTTGACTATAATAAAAATAAACAAAACAATTTAATTATAAGAAAAAACAAACATGTGAATCACAATTAAACTGAGATGAAATTCCTAATGATTACTGATGTTGACTCGATAAGGGATAAGACATGGTATGATATAGGGATAGAGCATCCCTACTAGTTGCTGATGTTGACTCGATAAGGGATGAGACATGGTATGATATAGGTTTAGAGCATCTCCAAAGCTCCGCAGGAGGTCAATGGACCCAAATCATCTCCGCTGGAACAATATGACCTGTTCCATCTAATTCGGAATGCACCTTACAAAAAAGTTGGATGTTTAACAAATATACTGTGTGGTTGGATGTTTAACAAATATACTGTGTGGTCTGTAACGTCTGTTAGAGGAGGTAGAGACCACATTTTTGTGAAAATGTATCAGTTTCCCAACACTAATATCCCCACTCTTCCATACACTTCCAACACTATTATCCACCCATTGGTATTGTCCTTTCCAAAAAGGCGTTCAGATTGATAAATCAATAATTTGAAAAAAATAAGACCTAAATATATATAAACAGTATTATTGTCATTCTTGGGGAGAGGTGGAGGACTATCAATAAGAATTTAACTCAAACTCCCACACAACCCCTACAAATGCCTCTGTCACATGATTCTTACAGCTTTATTATGATTTCGAACTCCCGGTACTGGTACCGGTACCGGTACTTATAAATTAACTTGCATGAGTTTTGAGGAGATGGCAAGACAAAATGTATACCTTGTCATAGAATTATTGCAAAAAAAAAAAAAAAAAAAAAAAAAGAAAGAAAGAAAAAGAACAAAAAAAAAAAAAACACTCAAGGGTTTTTGTACAAAACTATTATATATATCTATACATGTCTCATTTCCGTCCATCTTTTTTTATTTTGGAATGTACATGACCCATTCCAAAATTGGATGTGCTTTTTGCATAATATACCTAAACTCACATTGACTTGTGAACTAATTACGAAATATTCTTTTGTCTTTTTCTAATGATAACTTTGAAAATTCACCGGTTAGCATAAAAAAGTTAAAATCTCCAAATCATCCAACAATTTTTAGAAACGGAGGGAGTATCATTTATCTTTGCAATGATATGACTATGCATCTCTGAATTTTATGAATAATGAGGATTTCAAAGCATTAAATCCAAGAAATATATTGAGTCTCATCTTTTAGAATTAAATCCACTGTTACAGAGCATGTAATAATACCTTGATAATATTTTAATCTATGTGAATTCAATTTCTATAATTAAGCAACATTTTTAGAACTTCTCAGATTTCAGTCTCACGTTTTTACGAGTTTTACAGGGACTTATAATTATGTTGCATATTTTCTTGAATTGTTGGCATTTTGTCTTCATATTCCACATAGACTTGTGGATTATGCATTTACGTATTTGTAGTAATTGTTGGTGATGACAAAAAATTGAACCTTGAAAAGGATTTTTATTACACACAAAACTGGTGCTAAATTTACAGCTTTCTACTTGCATACTACGGTAAGTATTTACAGAAGAGGGGGTGACCCAGCTCTTTGATTTCATCTGCCCTCCACCCCGCCCCCCAAACAAAAGGATAAATAAGCACTGATGGACCGCCTTAGATAAGATAGAATGGGGACCACACTGTGAAATACAGAAGATGTACATTAAGAATAGTTTTTGATAAGTTAATATGTAGAACATAATCCTCACTTGTATTTTGGGAGGTAAAAGAGGTACATTAATTATAGTTTTTGATAAATACTCAAGTTCTATAAAATCTGTAATCGTAAAAATTGCCTGTGGCTTTGGGAGATAAAAGAGGTACATTAATTATAGTTTTTGATAAATACTCAAGTTTTATAAAATCTGTTATTGTAAGAATTGCCTGTGGCCTAGCAGAGACAGTGTGTGTGAATCCCAACTAGAAAAACAAAACAAAAAAAAAAAGAATTGCCAAACATTAACAAAGATTAAGGACAAGTCAATTATTGAGTTTTTGTGAGTGTGTGGAGCCAAACATAAATAGAGGGCTATCATAAGTCATGTAATGAGTCCTTACGGTATCAATTATTTGTGTCTGTAGGCCAAATATAAACAAAGACGACCACAAAGTCAAGTAATTATTTACATATAACTTATATTACAAGGGGATTTTCTACACTTAACCCAACAAGATTTTATAAACTTATTAATCCCTAGAATTGAGAAGTAGGATTATAACTTGAATTTGAAAAGTAGGATTATAAGTTGATTTTTTTTTTTCTTTTATAATTTTAAGGAAAAGAATTTATCTTAAAATCCAACCCAGGTTAGTAAAACTCAAAACGCTTGTTGAGCAAAATAGGGCATATTTTTTTGCACAATTTAAATCTTTTAATCCATGAGTATTGGTTTATTTTTTTTCTTTTTAGGACAAGAATGTTGAAATTAGAGGTGGGAAGGTTAGGCTCCTAAAGATAACAGAGAGCAACTCAACCGCTGGGCTACGAAGATATTCATATCAACGAGCATTAGTTCAAATAGTTTGATAACGTGTTCAAGTTCAGAACAACATTGTGGATGTAGATGATTTGCTTGAACTTTTGGAAAAATAAAAACTAATTTTTTTTTTTTTTTTTTTCCAATCTCTTGGGAAATCAGAGTGAACTCAACTAGTACATCCAATGGGCAACATGGGCTAAAAATAGACGAGTCCTCTTGGTATTGATCACATTATCTACCAAAACTCAACCTTTATGGCCCAACAATTCAGCCCAACATGGCCAATCAAAATTTATTTTCGAAGGTCTTCTTTTTATTCTCTATTTCTCTCCAATATATTTCAAACGCCAAAACCCTAAACCCCGAACTTCGAAGCGAAGCGGAGCGAGGCGAAATTGTTGTACTCTGAACATACCTTCAATGGCTGTAAGTGTTCATTGATGATATTTACTTTCACTTATACTGCATAATGTTTGTGTGTGCGTCTCTCTCTCTCTATATATACTATATATATGTTACATTCCATCGTAGAATGCATAATCCCTCTGAACGCATCCTCACTTTGTCTTGCACAATGCATCGGTATTTTATTTCATGAAATATCAACGAATTCAATCCTTTGGGAGCTAAAAAATGGTTAAAGTATTTGTTTCTTACGGCATATTCTTTAGAAGGCAATGTTTGTGATATAAAACGAGACAATCATGTTTTAGGTTTGATCCTAGTATAGCCGTCCCCCGATTTCCGGTTTAATCCTGTTAAAATAATGGCTTGATAATTGTAATATACAACAATTATTTTTCATAATTGGAGTGAAACAGGAAATTAATCTCTGATTAGGTCTCAAAAGTTCTAAATAAAAAAGAAAAGTGATAGGTGTTAACTGACATATGATGAGGGTTCTAGATTGTACTACCCTGCAATCAAATTCAGCATTCATCATTGTGGGATTTAGGAATATGTAAGGGGCTTATCCCTTGTTATGTATCATTGTTGTTCTTGAGTCTTGACAATATATATATATATATATATATATATATATATATATATATATATATGTGTGTATGTATGTATAATTGTTGCTTCCTGAATCATTATTTCCAATTGTTACTACATCATATCCTGCTTACTTTTATATCCAAATAAGGTCATTTTTTATTTTTAAGAAAGAAAGTTCTGCATATTCCTGTTTTTTAAATTGGTGATGGAAAAATCTTTCCAAAGGTAAGAGTTGCTGGTCATGCTCATCATCTTCAGCAAAAATATTTTATTATAAATTGCTTTCTTTAAATTTTCACATTTATCTCTCTTCATTAAAAGTTCAAAGCATCTATTTTTCAAACACATTTTACGTACCAAATAAAGGAATGATTTAGGGAATGTCAGGTTTTACTATTTGCATAAAAAAAAAAAATGCATATCAATATATTAATTCTAAACATGCGCTGTTTTACTTCTGAGCTGCTGGTCCCAACTTACAATTTTATGCATTTGAACTTCGGAAGACCAAAATGCATGGTGTCTTGTCACGAGTTGCAATGGTGCATCTAGCAATCATGAGATTTCTCTCACTTGAAAACCCTAAACACTCGACTTCAAAGAGAAGAGAAATTCTTCTCTAGAATCTCATTAGTTGCTGTAGGTATTCAACGATGAGATTTAGCTCACTTTGTATTGCATAATTCATTGCTTTTGTCTTTATCGTGAAAATAATTTTATTAATATATTTTCTATCAAAACAAGCAGATGTTGTGCTCAACGTTTTAGATCAATCCTGTTACTTAATGATTATTGTGAAGATTTTTAGACGCTAATGGTTTTGCTTATTAGGTTATTTGTGCATAACCTACTTCAAATCCTGAAAAGGTGACTTTCAATCTTGAAAAGTTCTCAAAAGTATGGCTTCCAAACCACTCCTCTCTCCAGAAATATGCAAACAAACATCTCTTACTCGAGGCAATTCTAGATGGATCGGTAAACCTATCTTCAGGGGACATCCCAACACCAAACATCATGATAAAATCTAACCCTTCGACCATTTTTCCACCACAAAGCCGATGAACTTGTAGAAATCTCTCCATTTTTCCTCTTTCCCTTCCAAAGCCCAATTCAACAGGGGCACATAACCTTAACTAAAGTTCAACCATGAAGACTATCCTCAAATTTCCCCAACTTTTCTCAACATGCAACCTGGTTCCACCACATTACTCTGAAGCCATTCCCCAACAATGCTTTATTAAACTGCCTATCCCAACATTTCCCCCAATCCCACCACCACCAAGGAAGAAAAAAAAAAAAAAAAGGGAAAAGAAAAGAAAAGAAAAAAAAATGTATTAGAGCAGAAACTTGCATCCATGCTGCAAGCTGGTATTTGGATTCCTCTTTAATTATATGCCATAGATTCTCTTTAAATCTTCTTTGACCTTTCAACCACGGAGGTCGGTATTGTGAAAATGGACATAAAATATATGGACAGTTGGGCAGGCGTGAAAGAGTACTTTTATAAAAGTTGGATTTCCACCTTTTGGTAGATATTATCTTTTGCAACCTGTTAACCTGTTCTTTAACCTTTCCACCAAAATTACAAACTGAGGTAGCCTTAAAAGGTGCACCAATAGGCAGGGCCCTGAGAGCATCATTGGAAGAGATCCCGCTTTGCAACCCTGATTTCCAGCCAAAGCATACAGATTCTCCACATCTCATTGGAGTAATTTCAAATTTAACCAAATTTATCCACAATATTGCCTCAAAACACATGTAGTGCTTCTATGATAAATTGATAATATACCACAACTTCACCTCCTCGACACTGCAAATATTATGGTGTCATTTGTGAAAAGGAGATGAGAAACTGATACATAAGATCTTTGACCACCACTGATTTTAAAGGAACTGAAGAAGTCAGCATCCACAGCTTTACTAATCATTTTACTCAAGACTTTGCTCTCCAAATAAAGGGAATCAAGTTAGAGGGTTTTCCTGTCAGACCTCTAAAAATGACCGAAAAACCATCAGGAATGCCATTGACTATGATAGGGAAATGGACTATCAAGATTATCCGATCCACTCCATTTTGTCCAAACCCCCTGCAGTCCAAAACATGATAGAGAAATACTTAATAGATGATTTTTTAATTTGAGATTTTCGGAACAGAAACTCTTTGTTGTCCTTGACACCACAAAGGAATTGTATGTGTTGTCCCCTTTAGCTGGTGGAGTTTTGCAATTATTAAACAATTCTAGGATCTACATACCAACCTAATAGACAGAAAAAAACTATTACTTATTGTTGGTCCAGCTTGCATGAAGTGCCCCGGGGTGGGGAATGGCTGCAGGCCTTATTTATACAAATGATTTTTCTTACACTCTGACTTGACTGCTCATGCTTTGTAGTCGAGTTCTTACCATTGAACCATGCAATAGCCCCTTAAAAATGAAATATAAGTAGCTAATTAAGTTACAGATCCTTTCTATGCATGCATCCAAAGATTTCCTTCTTTCAAGACACACGAAAACTCCAGCATCTACTTTCTCATAAAAAAGGATTTGTATTAGAAGCTGGCACTTGTCAGTGAAGACAGTAGGGAGTTCTAACTTTCTCTGAACATCAATTACTCGTGTTTATGTCTTTTGCAGTGCGAAAATTTTTAATATGATCATTTTTTTTTATCTGCTATAGATGTATGGGATGTTTCTGTTATTGTAACTAATTTTTAATAGTCTGGCAATTTTGGGTATAACATTTGGCTAATGTATATTTGCATAATGATCTATATATGAACTTTTAAGTTCTTAGATTCAGATAAAACTCGTTCATGCTAGTGTATTCTGGACCAGTTCGCTTAATTTCCATAAACAATACTGTTGCATGCACCTTGCTTCTTGAAACTAATTATCTGGATATTGCAGACTGTACCTGTTAATCCCAAACCTTTCTTGAACAATTTGATTGGAAATCCTGTCATTGTAAAACTCAAGTGGGGAATGGAATACAAAGGTACTTTGCTTTCAGTGGTTCTTTCATTATTTTTTTCTTTTCTTTTTTTTCCTTCTTACTTGGGAATTTCCTGTAATTTGTGCATGCTTTTTCTTTTTTAATATTAGCCTTAGTGACATGAATGATTTCAAATCCTTTCAGGTTTTCTCGTTTCCGTGGATTCATACATGAACCTGCAGGTATTGCTATACATTCTATTTTCAGTATATTTATATTTAGAAATTATGTTCTTTAATGCCTGCATTTGCGTGTGAATTTGTTTGTGTTTGATTGTGCCGTCTGCCTTCCATCAGTGGCCTGATTTTGTTCCTGAGCTACCATGTTGAGTAGCTTGTGTGATGTGATAGTGTTGGGCAATATACCATGTTGAAGCATCTGCATGTTACCTCTAATTATTCTGTTTTTTACACATAATTTGTTTATCTTGGCAATATTTGACTTAGGAAAGCATTATATTTATCCAGTTCAGCATTTTTCTTCATTGAGTACATTTTGTCATTCTTATTATTGAATTTTTATCTGCAGCTGGCCAACACTGAAGAATATATTGAAGGCCAATTCACTGGAAATCTTGGAGAGATTCTGATCAGGTAATTTTTTCAATTGCTGTAGTGTGCCTCTTGACCCATAGTACCCTAAGATTACAGTGATGCATGTCTCTCGAGTTTGAGTTATATGCATCTTCATTGAAATTCCAAATGGGTGGATGATCTCAAACCAATAAAGTAAGACATTGATTGTGAAGAGAGAGAGAGAGCTAGGGTTGAGTCAACTTGAAGGTGAGGTAATTGGGGTGATTAGGATGGGAGAATGGTTTAAATTAAGCTGCATGGCGAGTCTCTGAGAACCTTTCGATGACCTGCCTTGCGTTATTCTTTTCAACTATGAGTCATGTCTTTTATTATTCTACTTATTTTGTCGTCCTCTTTTTCTTTTGCCACAAGTGCAAAAATCAACACCACCACCAACCAAGCCTTTTCCCAATTACTTGGGGTCGGCTTAAAAGTAGTGCAAAAATGACAAGGTTAAATAGTATGTGTGTGTGTTTTTTTTTTTTTTTTTGTTGGATTTGGTAGAAGGGGTTGATTAAGGCTTGCTCTAGGAAGTTATGCCACATAATTGTGACTTTTTAGTTCTTTATTAAACTTCTTTTGAATCTGCATATTATGACTAGTCTTGTGGATACTTTTGGTAACTGATAGAAGCATCAGGAAGTTCTAACAAATTGATCTATTACAATAATTATTACCTATTTAAATGATCAAAGGTTACGCTTTGAGGCTGGTCTCTGTGTATGTGTGTGCGCTCACGAATACAAAATATCCTCAAACACACTTAGTTGCCTGTTTATTATTGATGATTCTCTGCAATCCCTGTATCAAAGTAGCACAATTATGCGTCTAGTATTATTTAGAAGAATTTTTATTACCGGACATAACTTTGGCTTAAAGAGTTGCAACTTCTTGTTTACGTGTATTGTATTGTATTGTATTGTTGCTACAGGTGTAACAATGTTCTCTATCTTCGCGGGGTACCAGAGGATGAACAAATAGAAGAAGCTAATCAAGACTAAGGTGGATTTTAGCAGTAAAATAGCCGTGGCCCAAATTATTATTCCGGTCACTATGCGTATCACTCCCAGAAGTTATATCTTGTATTATAGCATTTGAATGTACCGAGTGCAGTGCTAAATATTAGTTGGGGTCAATATCTCCTCCGGGCTTTACAATGCATTGAGAGATGCTGGATTTTACATGACTCTGAAACTATTACATTATAGAGGATTCAAAAATGGCAGAATTCAACCGTTATTGTTTCTGAGAGGAGACTAGGATTATGCATTGAGATGACTTTAATTTTGGCTTCAGTAAACTTGTTGATGAACTGATTTTGGTTTCTGTGGTCCAAAATGAATTCGGTACGCCTTGGGTATTGAAATTTTTTCTACGATTGTAAAGTCTGAGCCTTTTGCTTTAGGGGTGTGGAAAAAATTTGGGCATTGGGCTATAGTGTTTATAGCTTGTATATGAAGATAGTATATCGTTCATCCCTAATGTAGAACAAATTGTTCTTATTTCAATTTTGGCAATAGTTGGCATCTAAGACCATGTGATTTACATGGGTCAACCCGATTACAACTTCATCTTGACTCATATTTTGGACATGTTCCTTTGTTGCTCGAGTTAGGGGTTAGAGTTGGAAGTTTTTAAACCATTGTCAATGTGGGTCTCTTGGGTATTTAGTAAATAATTAGTAGTTTCAACTAACCTCCTATATAGAGAGAAAATTTAAACTTCACAACCTTGTAATTCAATGGGTTAAGGGCACGAGTATAATGAGAGTGTCCTCCTAATAGTTGTTTCATATTCATAATGTATCCTAAAATATGAAGAATATAAAAACTAAAGAGCTGCGGACGTATGTCAAAAAGAATAAATATAACGATGAGAACTGCGGACAGATATCGAAGGGTGCTAAGCATTCCTTTCTTCTATTGAATTCATATATATATATATATATATATATACACATAGGAATGCTTAGCACAATTCATATATATGTATATTGTGCTAAGCATTCCTATGTGTGTGTATATATATATATATATATATATATGTATGGATGTATGTATGTATGTGTGTATATTACTTTGATGCATGAAACATGTCCTCACAGAAGTGAACGTGCAAAGCATATCACTGTTCGCCTGTTATCCCAGTCAAACCAATTTCAATAAATAAATTTAAAAAAAACCCAAGTTCAATCCCTAGATATATATATATATATATAATTATTTATGTCCATTCACATCTTAATTAGTAACATATCTCTTGATATAATTTGTAAAAGCTATACAACAACGAAAAAGAATCTATATTATGTGACAGGGCACTACCACAATCACAATGGTCCTGTCGGTTAACCTATGGCCTAGGGAGGTATGTCAAAAATTAAACGCCTGTTTTTTTTTTTTTTTTTATAACTCAAACACTAACTTGATCGGAGTGTTCCGGGTCGGCACCAAATTAATTGTTTTTTTTTTTTTTTTTTTAACTCAAACACTAACTTGATCGGAGTGTTCCGGGTCGGCACCAAATTAATCGTTACTGCTCCATTCTTACTTAAAAGGCTCTTGGTACTCAACCATGTAAGATTTTGTATCAACATGTACTTTTACATTTAATTTGTTCTTAACATCTCAAGTTTTAACAAGAAATTAAGGGGAAAATAAAAAATAAAAAAATTAATGTAATAGTTACAATTTCTCAATGTGTACTCTATGTTAGTAGTAGAGATGTATAGGTCTACTTTTCATAACACCAAAATTTGTTACCAACTAAATACTTCTTGTAGAAAAATTCAGATTTAAGAAATGCTAATAGAAATATTAGCCAATGACTAAATAAACTTCCAAAGAAATTGCTCGAAATGAAATTTATAGTCACAAGGGAACAGTTTAAAATGAAAATTATAGTAGGAATCGAATTTCTCATTATATGTAATTGCGGTGTTGACAAGTAATAGACATGTTCATGTTTAGTCTAGATCACATTTCAACAAATAAATAATGTTAAAAATTGGAACAGTCAAATATTATAAATCAAAAATTCAAGAGTGGGATTGTTGGACAATTCAACTTCTTATATTGAAAACAAAAATATGATTAACAAAAAAAATTATAAATAAAAAAATTGTTTATAAAAAACAAAAAATCTATAAATTTAAATATATATATAGATTTAGCAAGAGAAAGACACTAACACGTGCCTAATATTTAATTCATGTACTTTTTAAATATACATAATAATTATATATACATATATATATATAATTCATGTAAAAATGCATTACATTTTTATTTTTTATATTTTATTTTGAGAAGGTAAATAATAGTTATTGTCATTGCTTTGTGGCACAGTGATATGGTTCTAGTATTCAAATGAGCAGGATAGGTGTGTAATTATGGTGTGTGTGAATTTTTTTTGCCAATACTAATAATACTAATAAAAAAAGGTTTATCGTTATCGTTGTTTGAACTTTGAAGAACGTACAGGTAAATCAATCGCGAGTTCATTTTTCTGTCCGTTTCTCTTCATTTTAGGGGGGAAAAAGTGAACTTGGAAGAAATAAATTCATTTCATCTCCACATTAAACTTCGAAACGAGGGAAGGGTTCGATCCCGATCTCAGCCACATTGTCTTCTGCTCTCTTTCTCTCTCTATCACCTTCGCAGATCCGAATCTCAGGCAAGGAAATCTCGATCTGATCTATTTGTACACATTGCAATTTCGCATAATTCTTGATTAATTTTAGTATCAATGCTCTTTTTCTTCGATCTTTTCAATTTATTTTTGAATTGTATATATACACACAATCGAACAGTGCGTGCAATTATATGAGGTGCTGGTGTGAATTTTAATTCATGAATTGTACCGAAATTGATCTTGTTATTTTTAACTCAATTACAGGCAAATTAATTTATTGACTATTTATGTTTAAAAGAATTTCGGAATAGTGGAACTAAGTTTCATTTTTTTTTATTATTTTTTTTATTTTTTTTAACGATTAGTGTGATAAAGTTTTATTGGTTGCTGAGAAAATGTAGGAATTTAAAGATATTGAACTTTGGAATTTTAAATATTGTTGAGAAAAGATATGTTTTGGAGTTTTTTTCATTAATGTAGTTCTATTGGTCTTGAGAAATGGTTGAAATTTCCCTCCTTCAGTTCCTTAATCTTCTATTTCTTGCCAACCCCGTTAAACCTAGTGCACGAGGGTCAGAGGTATGCAACCTTACCCTCTCATGTGAAGAGGCTGTTTCCTTATTTTGAATCCGTGACCTCCAGGTCACAATGAAGCAATCTTACCATTGCACCAATGCTCGCCCTCCATTTTTGGCAACATTAATATTGCTTATTCAACTTCACTGAACTTCTGGGCTGCGTATGTCAACTCTTCTTTACTTGGCCTTAAATCTCAGGTCTTGTCTTTCTCATAGCATTGGCTGTAATCTCTTTGGCTTCCTTTTGTACTTGTGGCTGACCCCATTCATATGGGATTAAGGCAAAGATGATGATGATGGTTCATGACCAATCATCTTAGATGGTTATCTTCTCCTTTGAGCGCCACAAGGCATATACGTATTTGAATTTAAAATATTCCTAGTCTTGTATCAGAAATTTGCATATGTTTGTGTCTACTTATCAGGTCTGATGAATTTATAACCATCATTCTTCCTTCATTAGATGAAATATGCATTCAAAGAGAGTTTCATTTTTCTTGCATTTTATTTTCCTTTTTATTAAAAATTCTAAGAGTAATTACGTGTATCCATTTTTTTACTCTCATTTCAGATAATTGTTAAGCTCAAGAACTGAAAAATTTCAGTGACCTCCACGAAAGATTGTATGGGCACAGATAGTAGTGATTGGCATTTGGCACTAAACTATGACCAGTGGGTAGCACTATCTGTATCTGGTCCACGACCCCCGGCTCGCTATAAGGTTATGTTCATTCTAGAGATTAGCTTAAATTTTTGAGGTCAGCAAGATTTCATTGGTTTAAGCAGTTGTAACATCTTCTTCCCTTCAAAGCTTCAGATCAGAACTAGTTATTTATTTTTGCTCTTAAATCCTTTCCAAATACAGTAACGATTCATCATTTTTTTTACTTTTACTTTTTCTTTTTTCACGTGTTATGTATGCACCAGTTACTTACCATTCCATATATTCCTCTCTGTAGCATGCTGCAAGCTTGGTTGATGAAAAACTTTACATCACTGGTGGAAGTCGTAACGGACGGTACCTATCTGATGTTCAGGTATCGGACATGATTATTCACTTCTGCATGTCAAAATCCTTCTTTCTTGGGTCTTGTCATAATTGGCTACTTTTCAGGTTTTTGATCTTAGAAATTTGGCATGGTCTACTCTAAAACTGAACATGGAACCAAAAGCTGATAAAACTACTGATGGTAGTTCCCTGGAAGTTCTTCCAGCCTCTTCAGGCCACAGAATGGTAAGGTGTTGATTCATAAATGTCTTGTGTTAAAATTTTACTCTACTCTCATTTGTCCAAAGTGGTTCTTATTGCTTTACACTCATCACACAACTAATTTGCATATGTGGTTGTTTATGCTGGTAGATTAAGTGGAAAAACAAACTTCTTCTTCTTGGTGGTCATTCAAAGGATAATTTTGACAGCTTGAAAGGTTTGTTCCTCGAAAGCCATTTTCATACTGTTCAGAAACCACTTGAACTTCTTTTGAATCTTATGCCTTGTTAGCTAACTTGTAGTGCGATTCATTGATTTGGAATCATACCACTGCGGTGTTATGGAGACCTCTGGAAAAGTTCCGGTAACTGACTGACTCCAGTTACTGTAAATCTAGATTTCTGTTTTTGAGCGAAGTGATTTCCATTTCATTTTATTGTGCCTTTTTTATTTAAGTAAATTTTCCTAGTTGTCAGCTGTTTAATTAGTGGAGGAACAGGCGTGTCAACCTTTCTCCTTTGCTATATGTATGTGTGAGATTAATTTAAATTTTATGATTAATTTTGCTTGGTTTGCTTATTGGGTAAGCAGGTGGCTCGCGGTGGCCAGTCTGTAACACTGGTCGGCTCTAAAATAATAATGTTTGGTGGAGAAGACAGTCAGAGGCGACTGCTGAATGATGTCCATGTTCTTGATCTGGAGACAATGATTTGGTGTGCGTTGGAGACGGTGTAAGTGTTGATTTTACTTTTACAGACAGCTGCTTATGTGCTTTTTTAATTTTTTTTATTTATTTATTTTTGCCCTGAATTGCTGCTAATGTGCTTCCAGAAGAGTTCTGCTCACTTTGTTGTGCTTTTATAGGCAGACACCTCCAGTTCCCAGATTTGATCACATAGCTGCTGTGCATGCAGAACGCTACCTTTTAATTTTTGGCGGTTGTTCTCATTCAATCTTTTTCAATGATCTTCATGTACTGGACTTGCAGACTGTAAGTGTTTATTCTTTTTGGGATATTGTTTTGGTTTTCAAATTGCGTTGAAGTTTAGCATTGAAGCTGAATGTTAAATTGTTAACTTGTTTCATTTCTATAATGGCACCTTGATTTCAAGAATTAGATAATTGACTTTTCTTGTGTATACTTGATGATTTTTATAATATACTCGACTGATATTCATAGTAATCCAAACACTTATTAATTATTCTGACATAATTGCTGCCCCTGGTTTATGTGCCTGAAATATCTTCCTCATGTTTCTGATGAAGTTTATAAGCTGAAATTGTTGGCTTTTGGTTTCAATTGATGCTAGCAAATTCAATCATTAAACTGCATCTATTTTCTGTTTGGAAGGTAATTTTTACATTTCATCGCCTGTCAGTTGCCAAACTGTTATTTAGATCCATTACTGGAATACTTTTTGTCCAATATTATGTTTATGGTCTTACTCTTTGACTGTGATACTTGAGGTAATATACCTCGGTGTCAAGGTTTTACTCTCTTTAGGGTCACTAATTTTGGTGTCAGTTATCTTTCAGAATTGTAATAGAATAAACATATAAACGTACTCATTTCTTGTTTCTTTATATTGTGAAGGTATGCCTTCACTGTCTCACGTATTGTTTTAGTTCTCTTTTTTTATAAAACAAATTGACACTTGCAAACAGCCTTTTAGATCCCCACTGTAGTTGAGATTGCTGCAGGAAGTGAACATACCTTAAATGTTTCAAGTTTATGCTGTTAGTGCACCCTTTACTGTTATGTCAATGGTTATTGATATCATTCTGTTTAAGACATGCTGTAACAGTGTTGTGTTAATGGAGATATCCTGATATTTAGTCTTTTGGGAGATTATTTCCGATCATGTCTTGCAGTATCAGTTGTTGGCAAACTAATTGTTAGATCTGCACTGGAACATAGCCATGACAAATATAGTGGGAGAGAATATATGCATTCCCCTGATAGTCATGACTGAATGGAAGAACTTAGAACAAATTCCTCTAGTGTGGACTGAATGAAGAATAAAAAATGACATCAAGTGCTAATTACTGTGGAAATATGCCTAGTATATTTGTTTTCTCATTCTTGATCTCACTTCACTTTTTAGCTTGATAGGCTGTCATGTAATTGCAGATGGACTGGACCCAACCACAAATTCAGGGTGATTTGGTCACTGCTAGGGCAGGTCATGCTGGTATCGCCATTGATGAAAACTGGTACATAGTTGGCGGTGGGGATAATAGAAGTGGTAGGTATAGACTTGGGATCATGAAATTCTATTGTGGCATTTGATGTGATCATGCTTTCTTCTCGACCACATTCGTAACTTCAATGGATGTTTGACATTTTTTGTTTACAGGTGCACCAGAAACTCTCGTGTTAAATATGTCTAAGCTTGCTCTGACTGTGTTGACAAGTGTAAAGGGAAGAGATCCACTTGCCAGTGAGGTTACTACTTTATGACTTTCTTTGGGATTTATTTTAAAATTTTTATAGCTTTAGTGTCTCAGTAATATTTGAAGCATCAAGTAAGACCTTAAGGACATAAATATGAAGGAATATTAAGTCATTTCTTTTTCACGAACTTATATTAAGTATGTATTACAATGAGCATTTAGTAAATTTTTTGGGTGTTCATTTACATGTTTACAACTTCCACATGCTGAAGAATTTTAGTACCATTCATCGTGGACTATTTATATCTTCATTTATAGCCTAGAAGTCACATTCTACTAAATATATATGTGTGTGTGTGTGTGTGCGTGTGTATAATTTGCAGTGTTGAGCATATAATCCGTCATTCACATTATGAGCTCTATACCAATTTTTTTCTCTGCAAAACTGGTGTAACTGCTTTGTTAATTGTTATATAATTAAGCCTCTCCTTTTTTTCTTTTTCTTTTTTTCTTTTCTTTCCTTCCCGGGTTAAGCCTCTCCTTTTAACTGTTCCAAAATTTTGAACCTCTTAAGGTATAAGGAGGATAGATCATTCAGAAGCCCTTTGAGGGACATTTGTGGTCATTAAATAGTTCATTGATCGCTAGTGCATTTCTGGATTTATTTAACATTAATTTGTTGCTTTACTTCTAGTCCTAATTCATGTCAGTTTTGCCTTTGTTTTTTCTTTTTTCAAAATTTATTTTGCCTTTCATGAACATAGAAGTAAATCGACGCTGGAGAATAGATGATCTTTGTTTGCAAATAATTTTAAACAGACCTGTTAATTAGTTTTACCGGCAGTTTGTTTGATTCAATTTAAGAGCTTTTAATTTTATTGCCATGTCATAAACATGTATGTATATGCATTTGTAATATATATTAGTGACACATTGGAAACAGGGACTCAGTGTTTCCTCAGCATCATTGGATGGAGAGAAGCTTTTGGTTGCCTTTGGTGGCTACAATGGGAAGTATAATAATGAGGTATCTTGTACAGTTTCAATTCTTATTTAATTGATTTAAATGGTTTGTTTGTCAAAAGGAAATTTCTTGAGGTAATACATGTGAGTTGCAAGCACAGCTGTACCGTGTAGCTGAGTTAGTGTGAGGCTTTGCATTAACCCGGCGGTAGTACATGTGTGAGCATTATTACACAGTATGTTGAAAATTGCCAGCAGGTGTAGCTGAATTGGTGTAAGGCATTAGCATTACCATGAGATCCAAACTACTCCTACCAGACTAGGGGTTTGTGGTCCACCTTTTCTGTGGGTGGGATTAATCTTACGTTCAAAGGGGGTGGGGATACGGGACCCCATGATACCCAAAAAAATGATGCTGAATACATGGTTGTAGGCTTGTAGCATATACTCGTTTAACATGAACAATAAAATATAGGATTAGTCACCTTTTCTGTTAGTTTATTTTGTGATAAAATGCATGTACCCCTTTTCCATGGACAGTATCGTAGTGATTGATGGTGCTCAAATTTCTTAATTCAATTTTTCCAGCAACTTCTGTTTTTACTCTTCATTTTCCTGCTTGATTGATTATGATCATCACTAATGTTTTGCTTAATCAGTAGAGATACCCATATTTTAATGCTATTTTTTTGAAAGATAAATGTAGGTTCACATTCTCCCTCGAAACCATGAGAACCTTTTTGGTGTAGTGAAAAGAATTAGAGCTGTACGATGTTTTATCAGAAAACTACTATGTTGTTGTTATGGTGATGGCTAAATCTGACACTTCCTATATATCCATTCAATGCTGTGTATAATGCATGGAATGGTTTCAATTTCAAGTATATCCAACCAGAGATGACAGTGGGGTGTGGTTGAACAGGCTGATCAATGATTCCAACCTGTTATTATGTGGTGATGCAATGAATGATCTCGATAAGGGTGCAAAATTTATGTTACTACATATCTATATAGTATGTAAGATTAGAAAACAAGAAAAAAAAAAAAAAAAAAAAAAAACAAAAAGAATTTTTTTACAGTACTAGTGCAATGCAACGTTTAGCTTGTAGAGTAAAAATCTGGATGCTGCTCCTGGCTGAAGCTTCTTCACATATTTTGTGATCTCATCTCACAAGTTAGGCGTAGACGAAAACCCCTGATCAAATCACCACATTGTTGCAAAATTTGAAGAAGTTGCTTTCTGTAATTAAATAATAAGGATTACTAGTATAAGTTCTATAACTGACTTTTAAGCGACCGAAAGGGTCTCACAAGTCATAACCATAAATTTTTATGTGGGAGGGAGGGAAGAGGTTGGTGAAGGGTGCATTTTCTTTCGCAGAGCAAATGAATATACTCGTATAAAGGAGTGCATGTGGTAAGATACACACATGTAGTGTGTGAGTGATTTCCAGTAAAAAAGAAATAAAGTAAGAAAAACAAGATGAGAGAATGAAAAAGAAATTTGATAAATACTGAGACTCTAATTTGAGTTCAGAGAATGAAAAAGAAATTTGATAAATACTGAGACTCTAATTTAAGTTCTTATTTGGAGGATTGTCGAGGACAAGAAATGTGCTTGAAGGGTTCAAAAACAAGTATTACAAGGCCAAAAGTAAAACCCTTTTTACATGGCCTTTCAAACTGGCGCAAAGATGTTTCTCATGCTCACTTACATGTGAACCATGATAATGTAGCTCCGCCAACTTGCCTACCTGATATAAAAATAAAAAATAGTAAAAATGTAGCTCCACCGAGTCTCTTAGAGCCTTTTGAAAATTTTGAAATATAGATCTAATCTTGAAAAACACGCTCTGCCTTGTTTGACATATAATCACAGAGCTGTTCTTCTGTGCGACTTCCATCCAGTCTGTGTGTAGTTAATCTGCATATATTGGTTAGAAAAATGTTGCTGAACAAACCTTTAACGAATTCATCAAAGAGATTTCTGCAATTGATTTCCTTCCTAAAATACTTTCTTGTCCTCTGTTTGCGAGGTTCTCATACAAGTTTATTTACTTGACCAGCAACAGCATGATAAATTTCAGTGATCTTGTTTGTGGCCCTGTTTGCTTTTGGTAGTTATGTTAGATATAAACTGAATTAACAATTTCCTACTTGTAACATCATATCCCCATTAAGGAAATTAATTATTGAAGTCATAACCTTAAATACCACTTTAAGGATGGAACCATTAAGTGACAATTTGGTTTTTCCATGCATGAAAGGAATTATATGAATTCATGGAAATCCATTAAGAAGTGGATAATGATCATTTGAGTTTTGTTCTTAGGAAGTCCCTTTTCATTCTCTATTAAGAAGTTGCGGACCTTCCTATTGCTTCTCAACTCTGATATCATTCATATACAGGATGAGACACCTGTAAATTTTTTATTTGACTTCCTCACTTTCCTGATCAGTGGTTGTGTAGATGTAGGTTGCATGATCAATTACAATATTATTCATTGCATCTGACTGAGGTAAAAAAAGAAAAAAGAAATAGTACTGCTTAGGCAATGAAAAGCATTACTTTAATGGAACTCCCATATGTATAATTATCAAAAAAAAAAAAAAAAAAAAAAAAAAAGGAACTCCCATATGTGGCATTTGTCAATTTAAGAAGACTACAACATCACTGCCCAGTCTGGTCCCTGTTATTTGAGGGTACTGCAAGGGGTGGCTGCTCACACTAACTTTTGACGTTATATGCATAAAGTGGCTGCTCTCAGGATTCGAACATGCAGTTTCATGCTCAACAACCGGGATTTCTTAGAAATTCATAAAGCAATGATAAATGCTTTTAACATCCAAAAGAAGTGCGTAATGTTCTGAATTCATCACTACAATAAGAATATATGATTGGCAAGATTATTCTGCACCAAGTTTAGGGTGAGAAACATCATACCAGTAATGGTTCAAGCAAGCACTACTTTTGAAAAAGTAACAGAGTTTTTCATGTTCTGATTCCTATGAATGGTCTGATTCCTATGCTGACTTTTTATTCAATGCTTCTTCTTACATTCATCTTTAGCCAAGCTTTCAGATGTTTCTTGCATTTTTTATTTTATTATTAGATAACAGTGTTTTAAACCGATGCTTGATTTATTATGGGTTTCTACTGCGGACCATCTTTAATTTTCCTAATTCATTGGTGTATTATGTCATTGTAATTTAATCTTTTGTCTTTCTGTGCTTTCCCTGAAATTCTAGGTTTTTGTTATGAGACCCAAACCAAGAGATTCTTTGCATCCCAAAATATTCGAGTCAGCTGCAGCTGCAGCTGCAGCAGCTTCTGTTACTGCTGCATATGCCCTAACCAAATCTGGAAAGCTAGACTTCATTAAAACAGAAGAATCAAACTTTAAGGTAGTCCAAAATGATGGCTCCCAACAGGACTTTTCGCTTGAGATCAATGCAATTAGAGAAGAAAACAAGGTGTTGGAGTCATCACTTGCAGAAGTCAGAGCAGAGAATTCTAGTCTCAAGGGAAAGATTGAGGAAACTTCTAGTACCTACACTGAGTTGTCCAAGGTATGGTCATGATTATAAATTGCTTATATAGATTTTTTTGTCTGTCGGTGGTCAAAATTTTTCATTAATTTTACTTACTACAGGAACTCCATTCGGTCCAAGGTCAACTGGTAGCTGAGAGATCAAGATGCTCCAAACTGGAGGTTTTTATTTTTTATTTATTCATTTAGCCTATTCATGAATTTAATTTTTGTTTGTAAGAAACTGATTGTGTTTTACATCGGTAATGGTGTCTTCAGGCACAGATCACCGAATTACAGAGGATGCTGGAATCCTTGCAGTCTATAGAGGAAGAGGTTCAAGTACTTCGAAGACAAAAATCTGCATTGGAACATGATATGGAGCCAGACGCAGCTGTCCAGAGACAAAGTTCTGGTGGTGTCTGGAGGTGGATAGCTGGATAGGCGGTACATGCAACCCATTAAAGTTGGAGGTCAATACCTCAAAAATTAAAAGTGTTACTCAATAAAACTGAAAAGTTGTCAGGGACCATAGTTGTCCCAAGGCACCAGGGTTTTGATCTTTAGCTCATGCAGAATGTACCAATGGCTATCAGAATCTTGGCTGTTATGTTTGTGATTGGCATGCATGAGTGAGTCCTAAATGTCTGCTGAACTATTATGAGAATTCCATGAGAAAAAAGACTAAATTTAAACAAGATTCTTGAATTTCTTTCAGTTGTTTCTCTGTACTTTGTTTGGAATACCCCAGTTATTTGCATGGTATAACTTTAATTCTTAAATTTTCTTTTGTTGTTATGTAATTGTTTTGTTTTTTTAATTATTGTCACTCATTGTACTCTGATTCTATTGGATCATTTGGTGATTAATAATAACAATTGATTTTTTGTACTCCTGATATCTCTACGCTTGGCAAAGATTCCTCACGTGTACGCCATTGCTGTCTTTCTTCAAATATTTTAGAATTTTGCGTGGATACCTAGGACAGGGAAGGGCATAGAAAGCGACGAAACACTTTGGGGAGTTGAAAATAAACATAGATTTCAGAAATTCCTGAATATGTCAAACTCTCGAACTGCTATAATATCCATGGGTAGACAACCTAGCGAATTGGAACATCTTAGCTAGAGGAAAAGAAAGCAAAAGCGATCCTTGTAGCAGCGAAGTAGCCTAAACCATGGAAACGGGGCTGTGGGACAACACTACAAGCATCGTGTTGCTAGGTGAAGTGGTGGAGTGCACCACCCTATATGGTGAGAGTTCAGTAGCTGCAAGCATTACTTGCTTATGCTGTAACCCGAGTAGCGTGGGCTATGTGGAATCCCATGTGAATTCGATTAGCCTTGCAAGGGTAAGTACTCCCAGTTGATCGATAACGAAGTAGTACCGTGAGAGATGGGTGAAAAGAATCCCCTTCAGGGAGTGTAATGGAACATGAAAATAGTAAGCTCCCAAGCAGTGGGAGGAGCCCAGGGCTTTGACCACATGGCTCTGATCGCATGCTTGTTGAAGAATGAGCCGGCAACTCGCAGGCAGTGGCTTGCTTAAGGGAACCTATCGAAGACGTAGATAAAACGAGTGTTTGTAGGGCAATTGTCACTGCTTATGGACCCGAACCTGGGTGATCTATCCAGTTGATCTTGATATCTAAACAGAAAATAAGGTTGTGAAGATGGAATTCTACTATTAACTAGTAGTCCTCTGTATCATGTATCCTGTATGCCCTTTTTGATGGTTTCTTTCATTTTGTTTCATTACGATATAACCTCTCTTTCCCATCACTGTCCCCCATTTTGTATGTAGCCTTTGTTTTGGTTTAGCAAAATTGGATTTGTAGAATGCTCTGAGAAAACCTAGAAACGTCGAGCTATATAGCATGAGAGGACTAGGTATATACCATGCCACTGACACATTTAAAAATAAAAATAATAAAATGAATTAAATACTTTGATTTATTTATTAAATTTTTTTTTTGAGGAAATAGCTTCCTTCCAAGAGATTCAGAAGAAGAGAATCAAACTTTACTTTCGGAGTCTGCAAAACAATAGGAAATTGGACAAAAGTTTCAGATTTTTCTTGAGAGCAGTTGCTTATTTTTTAGTTTGCAATACAAACTGAAAATTTCATGGTCTGATATAACTTTATTTCAACATATATATCGCACTCCTAAACTTTTGTCCTCTGTCCTACATTTTCTGCCAAATAGCTTTCAAACTGCGGTAATATTTTCTTCCTTGATGTCTAGTCTTCATCCAATACAAAAAGAGAATGAACTGTTACAACTTGGAGAGGACTTGCTGTTGGCTTAGAGACACTAGCTGCTTACGCAAAATTTTGCCGGCAGCTGACCTTGGGATGGCATCGATGAAGCCTACTCTTCTTACCTTCTTGTATGGGGCCACCTGACATTGACCTCATATAATTTAGAAGAAGAATACAACATGCATATATATATATATATATATAGATTTTAGAAGAATATAACACACATATGTGTGAGCTGACAGCCAGACACTAACCTGGCTGGCAACAAACTGAATGACTTGATCTGCAGTGAGTTCACAACCAGCTGCTCTCACCACATATGCCATTGGTATCTGTCCTGCTTCCACATCTTCAATTCTGCACCCAAAAAATTAAAAATAAATAAATAAATAAATCCTATTGCTGTGTTAGAGAGAGAGAGAGAGAATAGATAGATAGATAGGAAGAGATTGAAGGTGACGCACGGTATAACCGCTGCATCAAGAATATGTTGATGACTTAGAAGTATTGCTTCCAGTTCTGCTGGAGCTACCTGCATTCACATTCATATCATTTTCATTAGATGGTGCATACACATGATTTCAATAGCTCGCTCGTTTTCTCTCTCTATATATATTGTTGCCTGTTTTCTCACACCAATATATTTTGTCAAAATTGCTTACATACCTGGTACCCATTATGCTTGATTAGCTCTTTGATCCGATCAACAATGTAGAGGAACCCATCTTCATCGAAATAACCAAGATCACCAGTTCTCAGCCATCCGTTTGTGTCAATGGTTGCAGCCGTAGCCTCCTCATTTCCCAAGTACCCTTTCATCACAGCTGGGCTTTTCAGCCACAGCTCTCCTTTCTGGCAGGGTGGCAACGCCACTCCGGTTTCAAAATCCACCACCCTAGCACAGAAACTAGGAATCAACCTTCCACACGAGCCCAAATGAGTCTTAGCTGCTTCATCAGATACGAAAAACGTGGCTGCACCAGAGCTCTCAGTTAACCCATAGCCTTGCCTTAGCTCAACCCATGGGAACTTCTTTCTGAACCCCTCATCCACCTCTTTGCTCAATGGTGCAGCCCCTGAGCCCACCTTTCGCAGGGAGGACAAGTCATGGCCACCTTTGCCAGTATACTTCACCAACCCAAGAATGACTGGAGGAACCGCTGGAATGTTACTAACTCGGTGTGTTTGAATCGCATCGAGCATGGCTTGGAAATCGAATTTTGGCATTAACACGGTGGTAGTACCTGCACAAACCAAGCCTAGCACGAAGAAAGCGAGGCCATAGATGTGAAACATCGGTATGAAGCACAAGAATATGTCGTTTTGAGACGATGTTTCGTCCACACTCCATTTGAGGAGTGTCATGATGGATATCAAGTTTGCATGGGTTAATATCACACCTTTGCTAGTTCCGGTGGTGCCTGAAGAGTATAGTATTGCCGCAGTATCTGACTGGGTTGGCCTTGGTTGTGGGAGTTCTAGTGGTTCGCAGCCATCGATCAGCTCTTCTACGGAAAGTGAACTGTCATCAGATGGACGAGAAGTAAGGAGTGTAGGCACTCCGGTAGAGAGTAGCTTATGTACCTCTTCGGGTACTACAATAGCGAGTTTGGCACCTGAGTCGCGTACTTGTTTTGCTATTTCTGACTCGGTGTTCAGAGGGTTTGCGGTGGTCAAGATGGCGCCTACAGAGAGTACAGCAAGACAAATAGTGGGATACAAGAGCGAGTTCGGGGACAAGACGAACACAACATCGCCTTTACGAACCCCGAGCCCGTGACACAAGCCGGTGGCGAGCGATCGAATAGAGCGTTGGAGTTGCATGTAGGTGACTCGACGGTTAGTGACCGAGTCAATGAGTGCAACTCGTGTCTCGGCTAGGTCCGGGGGTGGGAATTTTGATAGCACGAATGTGGCCGTGTCAAGTTTGGGGATAGTTAGGATCTTGTCAAGCTCACCTAGTTGGTCGAGTGAGTGGTAGATGCCCGTTCTTGAGTCGAAGCCGCTTCGATCAAGTGGCTGCCGGTGGATTTTGGGTTCCACTTCAGTGGTGGCAATCCACCCCTCATCCCTTGACATGGTTGGGAAAAAGAGACCAAACGTTCACACAATGTACTGAGCTAAACCTTTTATATAAACTATGTGAACTATATATTGAGCTTAACCATGTATATACTCTGTATTTATGTCGATTGTGGGATTGACTAAGCTTTGCTGCTAGGTTTTAAGCTTGTTTGGATTTGATTATAGCCATTGTAAAATCCGTTAAATCTTGGGATATAATGTGTGTACTGTGTGTTTTGTTGCCGGCAATGAGAAGGTGACAATGTCGTGGTATCACCACAAACAAATCTGCGTCATAAACTACAACAGCATAAATACAAAGCTCATATGAATTGCCGGCCGAATATTGATAAATAATTTGAAAAGTACACATCAAGGCTAAATTGTTCTACAGAGGTATGTTTGTTTGGTAGGAAAAAGATTTGGAATTTGAAATTCTTGCAAAATGAACGTCCTTATGGTTATTATTATTGAATTAATTAAGGTCTTTTCATTATGGTAAATGGGAGAACTCGATTGGGTATTTTGCTGGAGCTAGTGTCCCCCTAAATTTTTTGCAGTTGCTTTACTGTTAATTTTATTTATTTTTTATTTATTTTTTTATTTTTTAACTCTTATATGTGTAATTTTGTAAAATTTTATAAAAAAGAAATCATATTTGTTACGATATTCAACTGTTGCAACTTAAGTCACATAAAACGTATGGATGTGGAAGCGAAAATATTAAAATTTAAATACAGTGTGGGAGCAGGTATCCACCACGAGTGACGAACTTCATTAAAAACTGTGAGACAATCGAGGTGAATGTTACAACAGTGATTGTCCTAACACATCATTGCTCTTTTACGAAATGCACTCTCCTAAAATTCTTCCATTCCAAAAGTTCTTTTTAATTCTTCTCTATTTCTTTTCTTTTCTTTTCTTTTGTACTCCTCTTAACCCATCGTTGCTCTTTTACGAAATACACTCTCCTAATATTCTTCCATTCCAAAAATTCTTTTTAATTCTTCTCTATTTCTTTTCTTTTGTACTCCTCTTCTCCCATCGGTCTTGGATGGAACCCAGCGTGGATTCAATTCATTAGTGTGTGTACAGGGGAATTTATGGATTCAATTATAAATTCTTACAATACCTTCTCTATTATGTTCACTATAAAACTTACTAAAATTGTTAGATTTTTTAATTTTATTTTTTGAAGACTTGAACCCTCATATTCACCAACAAATTTAAACGAGTTGTAATGGATTTAATTGTTAAAAGATAACAGACAACCATATCACTTAATCAATAAATTTAGTGGACTTTATGCAGTATAACTCTATTAGAAAAGTTTTATCATTAATAAAAGAAAAGGAAACCGTCTTTGACAATAGCACGTTTAGTGCTATTAGACCGACTTAAAAATATACCGACAAACAACGTGGGCCAAATTTTAAAACCAAATTATGTCAATTCATTCGTTTTGCCTCTTGCTATGAAGAAACGTGATTTAATTAGGACTAGTTTGGTGTGACGGAATGAAATCAATTAAGAGGAAATGGGAATAGTTTTTATTCCATTCCGTGTTTGGTAGGTTAAATTAAAGTTAGAAAGAGAATCAAGAGGCATTATTGGAAATGACCATTCCTACTATTTCATTCCCTCTCTTTAACAATGGAGTGAGCAATCCATTTCCACATGCAATAGAATTAAAAAACTTATGACAAAAAAAACCGTTCATCATCTTTTCCATCACGTCTTTGTTCCCTTCCAATTCACCCCTTCATATCAAATCTGTTATACTCATTTCCATAATCCAATAACTTATATATATTGCAAAGTATTTGTTGTATAATACGTGATGCATCGAAGAATATATATATTCTTCGATGCATCACGTATTGTACAAAAAATACTTTGCAATATAAATAGATCAAGAATATATTTTTTTCCTTGTATGGTAATCAATGTGTGTTTTGAGGTAGTATTCAATTAATGGAAGGGGTGAATCAATTCCAATAAATAAATAAAGGAAGGATTTTTTTAGAAAGGAGATCTGTTATATTCCTCTCCATAATCCAGCCTTCTTGCCCACCGCCATCATCTTCTTCTCTAACACATAACCCAACCCAACCTCCAACACCTCTGTTCACTTGCCTAATTTCTTTCTTTTCTCTACTTTCTCTCTCTATCTCTTGCCCCAATTTCATTTTTACAGACCTCTTTTTTACCCTAGATTGGAAAAAATTTCTTTAGATGTTAATTTTTTAGTTAATTTTTTTTATTAATAATAAAGGTTATTTGGAGAAAACAATATAAATTTATTTCATTTTAGTTTTTACATTAGTCAAACAAAACGTGAATGGAAATCATCATTTCATTTTTACGCATTCCATGTTTATAACCAAACAAGAGAATGGGATTCCTACTTTCATTCTCATTCACCAAACTAGTCCTAAAGAAAACAAATAGAAATTCACAAAAAAAAAAAAAAAAAAAAAAAAAAAAAAAAAAAAAAACCGGAAATAAATAAATAATTTATTTTACAGTTTTTTAAGATGGATTTTGTTTTGGTTTGGTGGATATGTGAAACAAATAATTTATTTTACAGTTTTTTAAGATGGATTTTGTTTTTTGGTTTGGTGGATATGTGAAATAAAATGGATCTCTTCTTTCATGAAGCTTTGGTATGTGTAATAGCATAAATTTACCATATAAATAACTCTGGAACAATTGGCCGGAAGTCTAAGTTGGCCGATGTTGTCGGAAGCTTCTCAAGAGGGTTTTCAGTTCAGCCTTATGTTTTGGAAATCATTATTTTTTGTAGCCCTAATTGCTTCTGAATGCGAATTTTTAACCCTAGATTTTTCCCAATGAGAGAGAAATGGAGATGGAGTGAGAAATTGGGATATATTTGATTTGAGTTCTAAATCTGAAATTTTGGGACCAGGAGATGAAAGAGAGAAGAGAGGATTTCATAGAAGGATCTCCATCACCAAGTCGTCGTTGCAAGCATTCATTCAACTTCTCTCTTTGATTGGAATCTTTTTTCAGCGGAACTGTGATTATCCGTAAAATTGGTGGAGAAAGAAAACACAAAGTTTGTAATTAAAACGTGGTATTACGTGGCTTGCCACATCAGTCTTTCACCACTTCAGTCGGTATAAAGTCGTTAGATAGGAGTCGTCAAAATTATCATTTTCCTTGTCAATTCAAGGTGTTTAACGATAGAGTAACCTTTTGGCCGATTACTAGTTGGCATAATTGCCACGTCCTTGTTTTGATGAGTTTTCTTGACAACGAAGTTCATTACGATTTCTCTCTCTGTCTCTAATTTCTCCATCTCTCTTCTCTCTCGTGTTCGATTCTTTTTCTCTCTGATTTCCTCACCTATCTTCTTCGTTTTGCTTTGATCTCTCCAATTCCTCAATTTTTTCTTTGATTGATTCTGGTTTCTCCCTTTTCGACTTGGCAAAATCAAAGTGAAAACAAACTATTGAGAAGTTTTCTACTGGTTCATTAAATCGAAGGTGACAACTACATAGAAACGTATATGTTTGCTTAAAGAGAAAAAAAAAAAAAAAAAAAAAAAAAAAAACTAAATGTATGAATTTAAATATATATATATATTAGGAAAAGACACGTGTGATGTATGTGGTGAATGTTTTGTAACTTATAAAATTTTTCTTTTTATATTTTTTTATTTAATTGTTGATTTGAAGCTTGTAACAATAAAACTTACAAAAAATCTGCAATTTTTTATAAATTAGTACTTACATACAATAAAAATAAATAATCTAAATTCGAATCTCAAAGCTTTGATAATGTAAACAAAAATAGATATTTTCAACACCAATAGCAGTCTATCAAGGAAGCTGGAATCTGGAGATAGAGATGACAAAGTAAAAATCTAATTTAATTTTAAAATCAAACAAGAATCATATATATATCTACAAAAAATCTGCAGCGATCAAGTCAGAATTTCAAATTACAAAATCAAGATACAAAATTGAATAACTGAAACTTGTTCTATATATATCTACAAAAAATCTGCAGCGATCAAGTCAGACAACAACTCACAAAATCAGAATTTCAAATTACAAAATCAAGATACAAAATTGAATAACTTAAACTTGTTCTAATAAGTTAAAAAATTTAGCAATTAGTAACCCAAAATATAATATATATAGAGGGAGTTCTGAGGTTGATGGTAGATACAATATATATAGAGAGTTAAAAACAATTGGTGGTAGAGTTTGAGTTGTGTAAAGTAATAAATTTTTAGGTAATTTGAATTTTATTAAGTAATTTGTAATTTGAATTTTATTAGGTAATTTGAAAGTGGTGTTAGAATTTGAGTTTTATAAAGTAATAAATTCTTTTAGATTTTATATTAAAAAAGAAATACTATTTTTGAAATTGGTGTTAGAGTTTGAGTTTTGTAAAGTAATAGATTCTTTTAGGTTTTTAAATTAATAATGAAATATTTATTTTTATTTTTTTAACAATTAAGAAATATTTTTTTATTTTAATACTGAAATTGGTGATAGAGTTTGAGTTTCGCAAAGTAATAAATTTTTTTAGGTAATTTAAATTTTATTAGGTGATAATATATATTTGAATTTTATTGTGACGGCCCAAGTTTTGCAACCTGGTGCGTCAATGATGATCCGAAAAATTGACCTGATAACGGATCCGAAATGCGGAAGCGAAAGATGATTGAAGCAAAAGAAAGAAAGATTCTGAGGCATGGACGAGCACTTGTCCAATGCCAAAGCACCGAGCGCATGTTCGGCATGGTCAAGCGTTCTGACTCGCAAGCTCAGGCGTTCGAACTTACACGGTCAGGCGTTCGGACTTACATGGTCAGACGTTTTGACCTACATGGTCAAGCGTTCGGACTTACATGGTCAGATGTTCTGACTCGCAGGTCAGGCATGCTGACCTACATGGTCAAGCGTTTTGACCTACATAGTTAGGCGTTCTGACTGCCGAACGATAAAACAGAAAGCAACAATTAGCCGAACGACGAAACA